CACACACACACACACACACACACACACACACACACACACACACACACACACACACACATTCACACATATTACAGGTATACTTTCTTTTCTTGGTATTTATTTATCACTGTGTAAAACAATGTTTACTATTTCATTTTTTTTTTGTATTCACAAAAATTTAAACTAAACTAAAATGAAAATGTATAGACGTTTCTTTATTCTAAATATGGAGTATTTTATGCCCCATAACATGTCAGTTATAACTGCTGGTGAGTCGACGCTATTGTTATGCAAATCTATCATGAACTGATAAATTGCGAGGCACTGGTATAAACTAGACTACACAGATTATTAATAACATAATAACAAATAGATTATTATATAATGTAGCTTTAAAAAGCTATAATCTTAAGTTTTTCTGATATTATCTTGTACTTTAAAAAAACTAATCAGTGTAAAATTGTCAGGGTTCTGGGCTGTATTTCTCGTGTTTTTGAATTGTGACTTATGTATATTTCATTTTAATAAGAAAAAAAACTTGCTGTTAAGCTCACAAGTCTTTGCAATAAAACAGCATTCTTCCAAATATTTTTTTAAATTAAATCCCAAAATAGAAATATGAATTGAGAGTGTATACAATCACTGGTCCTGGCACCTTTTTTGTTTGTTTTTTGTCTTTTGGCAAAGATAAATATTCCACATAGAAAAACACATCATGTTGTGAACTTAGTCAGCAGCCAACACCCTTTCCTCCTCTTCTCTGGCCCCTTGCACACACACACAGAAGTTACAATACAATTCATGAAGAGGTCTGATACAAGGATATTTTATTTCTCAAAAACTCGTAAAAACCAAGTAAGCTTCTTCTTGGTAGTCATCTTTAGTAACAACGTTGAGCTAAAGGGCACATGATTCCTTTAATAAAAAAACATACATTGTCTTCCCAACACAAGAGAACAAAAGGGTAAATTATGTGTGCTTACTTAGCAGCAATATATCATGTGAGTGGTAGTGTCATGATGATACCTGGTGCCTACATTTTGCACTTTCCTTTCCTCTCCCCTCCCACATTCAAGTAAAACATATGCCTGCAATGCTGCCACATAACACAGTAGGTTTGTATTGGACTAAAAATGTGTTCATTTCTTGTAAATAGTTCTTTTTTGAATTGTGAAACACATTTTCTTTTTCAAACTATAAAGCAATCGATCAGTACAATGCAATTTACGTTGCTCGGATAAGCGGAGAGCACAATTGCAGAGAGGAATTTTTGGAAAATAAAAGTAATGAGTAAAATAAAGGAGGAAATAAGTAAAATAAAGAACACCAAGTAGAATACGGTTAAACTCAATAACGAGCATTGTCATTGATTTGGTTCTTAACCATTCAGTGAATTAAATAACGGCAAATATCGTTTTATTTTGAAAATCACCGGAAGTGGGTGTGCTGCCCTGGTAGCTGGTTATAATAAGAGCTCGTCTGTAGCTTTGTGGCTAGGTTGCAGGTTGTTTTCTTGATAGCCGCCCGGGCTTCGCTGTCGTCGCCACTGCAAAATCGGTCATTACAGCGGCACGCCAGACGGGCTGTAAACTACAGGTTTGCTTTTCTTAATCTGACGATGCTAAATGTTATCTAAATCCTGGCTACAACGTCACGTTTTGTATCTGTCAGCCATGTTACTGTATATCAATCAATGATACAGCTAGCCACAGGAACCGTGTTTATTTTTAGCAGCTAACCTGCGGTGACTGCAGCGCAGGGAAACAGCAATATCAGCTCTCTGTATTTGTTGGCGTGGAAAAATAATATACTGACAGTACAGTGCACACATGAGCGTTGTGCGTGTGATGTTCGTGCAAATGTGTTTATGCAAACTGCTAAGCTGCTGGTGAGCTTTACAGTACTGGCTACCGTATTAGCTGTGTGCTTATTTTAAGCTAAGAGGTAGCTAGCGATTTTTAATCTGGCCAAGTCCTGCGTTCAGAAATCAAGGCCCCAGTTAACAAACTGATGTGTTGTTGTGACTCGTTGTGCCAAAGCTTGGATACAGAGTGCTCACATTTAGCCTCCTGGTTTTAGGGCAATCTAGAATGTGTGTTGTTTTTAGCTAATACGTGTAGATGACTTTACGCTGCGTTGTTTCTTAATAAAGACCATGCTTATTTAGCTTAACTCGCAGTAATCTGCTAACAAAACTGGTTAGAACAACTAATGCAATGCTTGGTTCGGGGGAAATAATGTCTGACTGCATCATACTGCCCAGGCGTGTTTACTTAACGCGTGCTGTTATTACGTCACGTTACCCAAGCCAGAAAGTGTGACTTTTCAGGCTTGTAGTGTCAGAGCCGTATGGCACTTGGATAACGTCCAGGATTTCTATTAGCTGACCGGCCTATCTTTGGAAAACATCACTGACTTTATGACTCTTCTCAAAACATTACACTGATCTGTGATTTGCTGCTCTCAGATGGACCAGCAGGACCAGTCCTATATGTTTGCAAGTCTGACACGGCCTCACTCAGAGGAGCTGCTGCAAGGCCTCCAGCTCTTGCGGCAGGATCACGAACTATGTGACATTGTGCTGCGTGTGGGTGATGCCAAGATCCATGCCCACAAAGTAGTGCTGGCCAGCATCAGTCCTTATTTCAAGGCCATGTTTACGGGTAACCTGTCAGAAAAGGAGACCTCTGAGGTGGAGTTCCAGTGCATTGATGAAGCTGCCTTGCAGGTATGCTTCTATCCAACACTTGCTAGCCACAGTGATTAACTGCTGTAGCATGTTTATTGTAACACTTGTGCTGTCTTTGCTTCTAGGCTATAGTGGAGTATGCTTATACCGGGACGGTGTTTATCTCCCAGGAGACAGTGGAATCTTTGCTACCCGCTGCCAACTTACTCCAGGTTAAGCTTGTACTTAAGGAGTGTTGTTCCTTCTTAGAGAGCCAGCTGGACGCTGGAAACTGTATAGGCATTTCCCGCTTTGCAGAGACTTACGGCTGTCATGACCTGTGCTTGGCCGCAACGAAGTTCATCTGTGAGAACTTTGAGGAAGTCTGTCAAACGGAGGAGTTTTTTGAACTGACGAGAGCCGAGTTGGATGAAATTGTGTCCAATGATTGCCTTAAGGTAGTCACAGAGGAGACTGTATTTTATGCCCTCGAATCATGGATCAAATATGATGTAACTGAGAGACAGCAGCATCTGGCTCAACTGCTGCACTGTGTTCGCTTTCCGCTGCTCAGCGTCAAATTCCTCACTCGCCTATATGAAGCCAACCATCTTATACGAGATGACCACGCCTGCAAGCATCTGCTCAATGAGGCCCTCAAATATCACTTTATGCCTGAACACCGGCTGTCCTATCAGACTGTGTTGTCTGCACGACCCAGGTGTGCCCCAAAGGTGCTGCTTGCAGTAGGAGGCAAGGCTGGACTGTTTGCCACATTGGAAAGGTAATGCTAGTGACTTGTAGATTACAATTGGATGCATTTGTATAAAAGCAACTTTCTAAACTTAAATTTTTTTTTTTTTTAAAGTGTCTTAGTCTTTTGTTTTGTTTTTTCCTTGTCTTTCAGCACGGAAATGTATTTCCCTCAGACGGATTCATGGATAGGACTGGCCCCTCTCAGTGTACCCAGATATGAATTTGGAGTGGCGGTGCTGGACCACAAAGTTTATGTTGTGGGAGGCATCGCCACACATATGAGGCAGGGCATTAGCTATCGGAGGCACGAGAGCACAGTCGAAAGCTGGGACCCCGAAACCAACACGTGGTCTTCAGTGGAGCGTATGGCAGAGTGTTGCAGCACTCTCGGTGTAGTGGTCCTGGCCGGAGAGCTGTATGCCCTGGGAGGCTATGACGGCCAGTATTACCTCCAGTCTGTGGAGAAGTATGTCTCGAAGCTGAAGGAGTGGCAGCCTGTGGCACCCATGACGAAGTCTCGCAGCTGCTTTGC